TTCCAGCCTAGGCAATGGAGCAAAACTCCATCTCTCTCACACACACACACACAAGAACTTACTGATTTTAACGTGTTTTCTTTTTGTGTGTGTGTGTGTGGTGGTCTCTTAAATAAATCTTTCTTTCCAACTCCAAGTTCCTGAAGCTGTTCTCCCATGTGATCTTCTACAAGCTTTATGGTTTTGCCTTCCCGTGCGATCACCAGTCCATCTGGAATTGCCTGTTGTGAATGGAGTAAAGTAGCAGACACGTCTTCCCTCTCCTCATATGGGGTTTCTGATTGGACCCCACCACTGACTGAAATCTCCATTCTTCCCCACGGCTCTGTAGGCCCCTTGGCCAGGAAGCGCCCACATGCCAGGGGGCTATTTCTAAACCCACGGCCACTGGTCTCTGTGTGAGAACACTGCACTGTCTTCACCGACATGAGGTCCTAATCTCAAGAAGAGCAAGTCCTCCCACCGGATTCTTCTTTGAATTATTTGCCATTCTTGGTTCTTTCCCAGATACATTCGAGAATCACTTGGTCAATTCTCATACAAACAAAGCAAAACAGCCCTGCTGGGTGGTCTTCATTAGGATTTCGTTGAACCTCTAGCTCAATGTGCAAAGAGTGTCACCTCTATAGCAGTGGCCACTCAATCTATGAATATGGTTTATCTCTCCTTTTGTTTTCTGTTCTTAGTGCTTTTCAAAAATGTTTTATGGGTGTGTGTGTGTTTGCTCATGTGTATAGAGATCTTGTGTGCATCTTTGTCAGATTTAATCCTAGTATTTGACAGTTGTTTACCTTTTTATTTTCAAGTAGTTTTGGTCTCACAGAAAAGCAATAGAATGAGTATGGGGATTTTCCATAGATGTATAACGTACCCAGCTTCCTCTAAGGTTAACCTCTTACATAGGGACAATACAAGGATCAGAACCAGGAAATTAACGCTAGCATAAAACCATTAACTAAAGACCTCAAATTTCACCACTTTTTCCAGGATGCCATATTGCCTTTATTTGCTGTTTCTGCATAGTTACCTGCAATCTGTAACTGTTCCTGTAGTCATTACTTTTCTTTCACGACCTTGACACTTTTGAAAGAGTGAATGTGGATGTGTTGGTGTGCAACTGTGGTCTTGGCGACTCAGGAGGCTGAGGCGGAGAGGTTGAGGCTACAGCGAGCCAAGATCGAGCCACTGCACTCCAGCCTGGCTGACAGAATGAGACCCCCTTTTTTTTTTTTAAGACAGTGTCTTGCTCTGTCGCCCAGCTGGAGTGCAATGGCTCGATCTTGGCTCATTGCAACGTCCACCTCCCGGGTTCCAGTGATTCTTCTTGCCTCTACCTCCCCTGTAGCTGGATTACAGGCATGTGCCACCACACCCAGCTAATTTTTGTACTTTTAGTAGAGACAGGATTTCATCATGTTAGCCAGGCTGGTCTCAAACTCCTGACCTCAGGTGATCCGCCCACCTCGGCCTCCCAAAGTGCTGGGGTTAAAGGTGTGAGCCACTGTGCCCGGCTGAGACTCTGTTTCTAAAAATTAAAAATAAAATAAAGCAGAAATTATGTTGTGTTTTCGACGTACATCATGTCATGGGGGTGGTTCTCCGCGAACGTCTCACCGCTTGTGATGCTGCCCTCGATCACTTAGTCGGGGGGCAGGGGGGGGTTCTGCGAACGTCTCACTGCTTGTGATGCTGCCCTCGATCACTTAGTCGGGGGGCAGAGCGGGGGGGTTCTTCGCACATCTCACTGCTTGTGATGTTGTACTCAATCACTTAGTTGGGGGGTTTCCGCCGGGTTTCTCCTTTGTAAATGTACTATGTTTTCCTTTTGTGGGTGACACTTATCTTGGGAGAGATATATTGAGACAAGAGAAATTCTGCTTTTCTTCAAACCCACTGAAACATGTGTTGGCAGCCGCCAGCTGCAGCAGCTGCACTTCTTGTGTGCCTGATGGCAATCTGCTCCTTCCCTGCCCCATCCTATACCCATTGATGGGCTTCTACTTTCCCTCCACTCCCTCTGGTGTGTATTTAATCCCTTATTTCTATCACTATGGAGTCACTGACGTTTATTTTGTGGGCTTAATCCAAATATATGATAGTTTTTTGATGCTAATATCATAATTAAATTTTCTTTTTGTTGCTTGTGTACGGAAATATACTTTGTGAGTATGAGGTTATATTCAGAACCTTCCCAAGATTGCTTATTGATGATAATCATTTGTGATGAGTTCTTCTGGATTTTTATGTGCATCATCTGCAAATGAAGACGACTTTGTTTGCTGTCACTCTTTGGAGCTGGGCCCCTGTTCCCATCAGGGTTCTTTTATTTCGTGAAGGTTGTGATTCTGACCCAAATAGGGCTACCAGATAAAACAGGGCTCCCGTAAACCGGGACATCCATTTAAATTTTAATTTCTCATATATACATATTCTATATGTGTAATATAAATACATTTTACTGAGACAGGGTCTTGCTCTGTTGTCCAGGCTGGAGTGCAGTGGCATGATCATGGCTCACTGCAGCACTGACCTGGGCTCAAGCCATCTTCCCACCTCAACCTCCGGAGTAACTGGGACTACAGATGCGCACCACCACACCCAGCTAATTTTTTTTTTTTTTTTTTTTTTGAGGCGGAGTCTCGCTCTGTCGCCCAGGCTGGAGTGCAGTGGCCGGATCTCAGCTCTCTGCAAGCTCCGCCTCCTGGGTTTACACCATTCTCCTGCCTCAGCCTCCGGAGTAGCTGGGACTACAGGCGCTCGCCACCTCGCCCGGCTAGTTTTTTGTATTTTTTAGTAGAGACGGGGTTTCACCGTGTTAGCCAGGATGGTCTCGATCTCCTGACCTCGTGATCCACCCGTCTCGGCCTCCCAAAGTGCTGGGATTACAGGCTTGAGCCACCGCGCCCGGCCCACACCCAGCTAATTTTTAGTTATTTGTAGAGACAGGGGTCTCCCTACGTGGCCCAGGCTGGTCTTGAACTTCTGGGCTCAAGTGATCCTCCCACCTTGGCCTCCCAAAGTGTTGGGATTACAGATGTGAGCCATTGCACTTGGCCCTATATATATATTTTAAAAGAGAGACAGGGTCTCACCATGTTGTCCAGGCTGGCCTCAAACTCCTGGGCTCAAGCAATCCTCCCATCTCAGCTTCCCAATATGCTGGGATTACAGGAGTGAGCCACTACACTTGGCCTAAATTTGAATTTCAGATAAACAGTGAATAATTTATTTAGTGTATGTCCCCCAAATTGCATCCTGTTTATTAGCTAAATCTTGCAACCCTAAACCCAAGCCATACCCAGTACTCTAAATACAGGTCTGTCCCTTGGCCCATCCCCTGCTGAGCAGCTGACCCTTTGCTCCGGGCCAGGCCAGGCCCAGCTGCCTGAGTCTCCAGGCCAGGCTCACCCTCCTGGTGCTGGGACCACCCTGCTGCACTGTTCTCCTCAAGACCTCATTCTTCACTTCCTCAGTAGCTTTCAATGCCATCACACACTTGTTTAAAAAACACTTTGATTTCGTCTGTCTTCTCTGTTGCTGTCACTGGGAAGGCTGCACGTCCTGCCCTGCCATCTCTGCTGCAGAACCACATACCCTTCCTGGCCCACTGTTTTCCCTGCAGAATTTTGTGAACTTTGCTTCATATTCTTCTAACATTTAGTGTTTCCATAAAAAGCTTTAGGAGGTGGGTGTGGTGTACAGGCGTGTGCCTGTGGTCCCAGCTACTCGGGAGGCTGAGGTGGGAGGATTGCCGGAACCAGGGAGGTGGAAGCAGCAGTGAGCAGAGATTGTGCCACTGTGCTCCATCCTAGGTGACAGAGTGAGACCCTGGCTCACAGATCGTGCCACTGTGCTCCGTCCTGGGTGACAGAGTGAGACCCTAGCTCACAGATCGTGCCACTGTGCTCCATCCTGGGTGACAGAGTGAGACCCTGGCTCACAGATCGTGCCACTGTGCTCCGTCCTGGGTGACAGAGTGAGACCCTGGCTCACAGATCGTGCCACTGTGCTCCGTCCTGGGTGACAGAGTGAGACCCTGGCTCAGAGATCGTGCCACTGTGCTCCGTCCTGGGTGACAGTGAGACCCTGGCTCAGAGATCGTGCCACTGTGCTCCGTCCTGGGTGACAGAGTGAGACCCTGTCTCAAAAAGAAAAGCAAAGCCTCAGGAGAGCCGGACTTTCCTCTTATAGGTGCTTTGCTCTTTCTCCTCCGGTGCCTGAAAAACATTTTGTTTTGAGGCTCAACTTCACCGAGTTGTGTCTGATGCGTGTTGTTCATGCCCTTTGCTTTCTGGGATTTTTTCCCCCTTTGGTCTTAAGATTCATTTCAGGATTTCCTGGATTTTATCTTGCGTGTCTGTTCTTTGTTTCCATTGTCAGGATCTGCATTCTAGACACTCGTTATTCTTATGACTCTATTATCTCTGTCCACTGCCACTCGGTGTCTCGCCCTCCTGACGGTGACTCTCCGTTTATTCCCCTTCACACTGATTTTCCCACATGCACTCAGCTCTCCACTCTGCCCGCTCTGGCTGCTCCGGTCCGTGCCCAGGGCCTGCAGGGCCTTCCGCGTCTCCCAGTCTCGCCTCATCCCACCATTCTGTCCATGTTCCCTGGGAGCCTGGTTGTGGGAATCATAGTACTTGGCTCCCCAGTGGGGACACCTGTGGAGACCCAGCTGAGCTGCCTGCTTGCTTCTGGCCTGGGCTGCCGTGGCCTTCTGCACAGCTGTGGCTCCCTGCTGGGTGCCCACGTGGCCCGACAGCCTCGACCGCCACCCCCCACCCCCACCTCTGCCCGTGCCCTGGTGCAAGTCACACCCATGGGGCGCACGCTGAGCGTTCACTGTGGCGGAAGCGCCCCAAGCGCCCCATTGCTAGACTCTTAGAAAGCTGCCAGTATTGTTCCACGTTACAGCAAGGGGCTCAAGCCGGGGAGGCTGAGTGGTGCCGTGACTTCCCGAGACCACTAAGGGCAGGGCTGGGCCCGACGGCCTCTCCTCCGCCCAAGGGGGCTCCAGGCTCGGGCTCAGCGCTCTGTTGCAGCCGCGGTGGGGCGAGGGCGAGGCCGAGTCCGAAGAGGACGGAGCTCCCTCTGGGGCCCTGAGCTCCGCGCCCTGCCCTCTTCTGGGTCGCGCGGAGCTGTGATGAGCCCTCCCAAGGCCTGGGGCCTCCCCGCTCAGCCCAGCCTTTGCTCGCTGGGGCCTGGATGCAGGAGGGGCCTTCGGCTTTCAGGGGAGGGAGTCCCGCGGGTGACAGGGCCGCTTCCTCGCCGTTCCTCGGGGCTCCCGAGCTGCGGGCTCGGCGGGGCTCGCAGGGTCCCCGGAGGCGTGGAGGGGAGGCTCCCGCAGACGTGGGTCCTCTCCCCGTCCTGGGCTTTCGCGCAGCCTCCTCGTGCGGCCTCTGCAGGCGGGAACTCCGGCTCGGCCGCGTTGGGGGCTTTGAGAGCCGTTCGGGTCCCTCTGTGGGGGCGGGGGCGGGGGCCGGGGCCGGGGCCGGGGCCGGGCCGGCTCCACTCCCAGCGGCGCAGCAGGCGTGGCTGGAGGCGAGAACGCGCCCCCGTGAGCCTCTCCCCACCCCAGGGGCTGCCGAGGACCGAGCGGAGGACCGAGCGGCCAGAGCGATCCAGGGCGCCTTCCGGCAGCTCCGGGCCAGGAGGGAGCTCGCCCGCCGCCGGGAGGAGCGCCGGGAGTACCTGGAGCAGATGGAGAAGCTGCAGAGGGAGGTGAGAACGGGCGGCCGCGACCCCCGGGGGCCAGGGCAGGAGGCAGGAGGAAATGGCGAAGCAGGGTGCGTGGAGGGGGGTGTGGAGCTCAGGCTGGGCTCTGACCTCAGAGGCGTGGATGGTGGCCTCGGGGCTCCGGGCGGTGGCGCGGGGCGGGCGGTGACTTCGGGCGGGCGCCTCCCAGGCCTACCTGGCCCTGGTGCGCCGGGAGCAGGAGGCCGCGCGGCGGCAGCGCGAGCAGGAGGAGGCGGCGCAGCGGGAGCGGCGGGAGGAGCTGCAGCGTCGCCGCCGCCTGCTGGACGCCGCCTTCGACGGGGACGTGGGCGAGATCCGAGCGGTGCTGAAGGAGGTCAGCGGGGGCGGGAGAAGGGCGGGGGGTGGGGGTGGAGTGGGAGGAGCGGAGAGCAGTGACTGCGGCGGGCGGCGCAGGTGGAGCAGCTGCTGACCCGCGAGGGCGTGGGCCATGACGAGGCAGGCAAGGCGCGGCGGCTGCAGCGACGCGTGGCTCTGGTGGAGTGCGAGGACAGCCACGGGAACACGCCGCTGTCTGAGGCGGCCGCGGGCGGGCAGCCCCTGGCCATCCAGCTGCTGGCCGAGCTCGGCGCCAGCCCCAACAGCAAGGTGGGCGCCGTGGGCTGCGGGCCCAAGCGCGGGGCCTCCTTCCCCCAGGGACAAGGCCTGGATCTTGCTCAGGGAGCCCATCTTACAGGGCGCTTTCGGTCGGACGCCACTGTACCGCCCAGCGTTCGGGGGCCACCTGGCAGCTGTGGAGGTGCTTCTGAAGCTCGGAGCAGACCCCCGGGTATACGCAGAGGACGGGAACACCCCTGAGCAGGTGTGGGCCCAGGAGGTGTGGGCGAGGTGTGGGCCAGGCAGGTGTGCGCCCTGGGAAGTGTGGGTACCGGGAGGTGTGGGCCAGGCAGGTGTGAGTCTGGCAGGTGCACACCCAGGCAGGACAAGGCTCACCCCACCCGCTTGGTCTCTGAAAGTTGTCAGAAGCCTGAGTGGCACTGCTAGAGCTGTTTCCTAGCCCTGCCTTGCCCCAGTCCCTTCCTAGAAGTCCTGACTTTAAAGCCTTGTCTACAATGGAACTGGCAGCGACTCCCATTTTGTGAATGCCTTTGGTGTCGGGTTTTGTGTTACTTCCTTCCATGCTTTGCCTGAGGAAGTGGTGTTACTAATGGAGAAACTGAGGATGGTGACTCCAGGGTTGGCAGAGCTCACGGCGCTGGCGGCAGCACGGGGCCCACCCATCAGGCCTCTCACTGTCAGCACTCCGGTTTACCAGAGAACTTGAGCCACACAGCCCAGCCACAGAGCTCCTGCCTAGAACCTTTGGGCTGTGTTAGAAATGACAGTCTGACTGTCTGGCTGGGTGCGGTGGCTCACGCCTGTAATCCCAGCACTTTGGGAGGCTGAGGCGGGCGGATCACTTGAGCTCAGGAGCTTGAGAGCATCCTGGCCAACATGGTGAAACACCATCTCTACTGAAAATGCAAAAATTAGCTGGGCATGGTGGCGCACGCCTGTAGTCCCAGCTACTTGAGAGGCTGAGGCAGGAGAATCGTTTGAACCCGGGAGGTGAAGGTTGCAGTTAGCTGAGATTGTGCCACTGCATTCCTGCCTGGGTGACAGAGTGAGACTCAAAAAAAAAAAAAAAAAAAAAAAAGCAGAGTCTGCCCTGGGCCAGGCTGGAGACACACTGCCTGGACTTGTCCTGGGCCCAGGAGTAGGGTGGGGTGAGGCCGACTCCACCTGTTGGAGCAGTGGCTGGAAAACCAGACCACGAACCTTGCCTGCCTTAGTTTTATTTAAATCAACTTAATTTGGATCCCAGTCCCTCTCCCATCTCAGTCATTATGTTCCCCCAACCCACCCTAACCTCACCCCACTTCCCACACAAGTCTGGAGGTGCTGCTTGGAGCCTGGGTTCTGCCTGGGGCCCACGGCAGACACCTGGGAGATGCATCCACTGGACCACTGCCAAAGTCTTTGCCCAGCCGGGGACCCACCCCCAGACTCTCCTCCTGTAGGTGCTGCCTGGGAGCCTGTCCTGCCCCTCTCTTCTTTCTCCTTGTCTGCAAAGGGTCCTTCTTCCTGGGTTGGAGGGGAGGGGCAGGGCTGAGGCTGTGGGCTTAGGGAGGGGCTGAGGATACAGTGAGGTGTCCAGAGGTGCAAGTGGGAGTCAGGGGTGCTGGGGTGTCCAGCAGACCTGCTGCCTGGGGCATGGTGGCCCAGAGAGCTGAGAAGGGCAGCAACTGGGGGTGCTGGGGGCGCCCTTGGGTGCCAGGGGACCGTGTGTTCACTCCATGGTGCTGGAGCGTTGGTCATCCACAGGCAAAGGGGTTAGTGTGGACCTGAACCACACACCCTATAAAAAATTAACTCAAAGTGGATTATAGATTTAAATGTAAAGGGTAAAACTACAAAACTTTTAGAAGAACACACAGGAGAAAATCTTTGTCGCCTAGGGCTTGGAGGGATTCTTGGACACGACACAAAAATCACAATCCAAAAAAAAAAAAAATTGATAAACGGAACTTCATCAGAATGTAAAATGTTTGCTTTGTAAAAGACCTGCCAAGAAGCCACAGGCAGGAGTAAACATTTGTGACCTGCGCATCTGACAAGGGATGTGTCTGGAACACAAAAACAACTCACATCGCAACAGCAATAAGACACACAATCTCGGCATAAACCTGAAGGGAAATTTCACTGAAGAGGATCTAATGATGGCAGATGAACACCCGAGGAGGTGCTGCACACCAGCTCACACCTCCCAGGACAGCCCAGGTCAAACGAGTGCTGGGCCGAACGTGGGCGGGGATGTGGGGAAGCTGGCCCTGCCACACCTCTCTGGAGGGACGCAGCACAGTACAGCCACTCTTGCAAATACGCGGGCGGCTTCTTAAAAAGCAAACACATTTACCATGTTGCACAGCATCAGACTGCTAGACATTTGCTCCAGTAAAAGGAAAACTAAGTCCACACAAAAATGTGTACACAAATGTTCACAGCAGCTTTATTTACAATAGCCAAGAAGTAGAAAGGACCCAGATGTCCTCCAGCGGGTGACTGGTTCCACAGGCTTGGTGCATTCCTGCTTCGAAACACGCTTGGCAATAAAACGGTGTGAACGCATGACCCATGCAACAACTAGCAACGTGAGAAGCCGGAAGGGAGCTTCACAGAGTGGGGGAGAAGGTCACAGACTGCGTGTTGCATTCATACAACACACTCACATGACAACATTGTGGAGACAGAGGACAGATCAGAGGCCTACAGGGGTTACAAATGGGAGTGGGGGCAGGAAAAGGGGGAAGAGATGGGGCCGATTGGGCAGGAGTAGCACAAGAGACCCTTGGGGTGATGGGACAGTGCTGCATCTTGATTATGATGGTCGTAACGCAAAACTGGACATGTGAGAAAATTGAGTGATAAACGCGCACACACGAGTGGATGCGAAATCAAAATCCACTGTGAGCCCTGTGGATTGTACTATGTCAGTATCCTAGTTTGTATGTTGTACTGTGAGCCCTATGGATTGCGCTATGTCAGTATCCTAGTTTGTATGTTGTACTGTGAGCCCTAGTTTGTATGTTGTACTGTGAGCCCTATGGATTGCGCTATGTCAGTATCCTATTTCTGTATGTTGTACTGTGAGCCCTGTGGATTGCTATGTCAGTATCCTAGTTTGTACATGTTGTACTGTGTGAGCCCTGTGGATTGTGCCAGTCAGTATCCTAGTTTGTATGTTGTACTGTGAGCCCTGGGTGGGATTGTGCTATGTCAGTATCCTAGTTTGTATGTTGTACTGTGAGCCCTGTGGATTGTGCTATGTCAGTATCCCAGTTTGTATGTTGCAATTGTAGCCCTGTTTGTGGATTGTGCTAAGGTCAGCATAACTGGAAGAAGGCCTGTGGATTGTGCTATGTCAGTATCCTAGTTTGTATGTTGTACTGTAAGCCCTAGGGATTGTACTATGTCAGTATCCTAGTTTGTATGTTGTACTGAAATTATATAAGACGTCATCATTGGGGGAGCTTGTTAGGGGTATATGGGAACTCTACTAGTTTTGCAACTTTGCGTAAATCTATATTTCAAAATAAAAATTAGCAAAATTACCAGGCATGCTAAAACAACAACAAAACAAAACAAAACACACACACAAGAAAAATGATCCAGAGTGAAGAGAAAAATCAATCAAAACAGACTCAAGGATGACACAGGTGATGGAATTAGTAGACAAGAACATTAAAAGTTATTATAGCTGAGGCCGGGCACGCTGGCTCACGCCTGTCATCCCAGGACTATGGGAGGCTGAGGCAGGCAGATCACAAGGTCAGGAGTTTGAGACCAGCCTGGCCAACATGGTGAAACCCTGTCTCTACTAAAAATACAAAAATTAGCTGGGTGTGGTGGTACGCACCTGTAATCCCAGCTACTTAGGAGGCTGACGAAGAAGTGCTTGAACTCGGGAGACGGAGGTTGCAGTGAACCGAGATCACACCACTGCGCTTCAGCCTGGGCGACAGAGTGAGACTCTGCCTCAAAAAAAAAAAAAAAAAACAACATGACAAATATTTGTGAGACAGATATTGATCAGAGGTTTACAGGGGTTACAAAAATGGAGGGGGGGAGAAAAAGAAGATGGTCACTGGGCAGGAGTAGCACAAGAGACCTTGGGGTGATGTGGACAGTGCTGTAACCTACTATGTGATGGTCGTAACGCAAAACTGGACAGGTGGAGAAATTATGATAAACGCGCACACAATGAGTGATGCTAAATCAAAATCCACCGTGAGCCTGGGGATTAGCCGGCTGATCCGGTTGTAGGCAATGAGCTCTTGGATGCAGCAGGCCAGTACCAGCTTCGGTGGCGTTGTACCGTGAGCCCGCACGCGCCATGTCATATCCTGAACAGTTACTGGGGATTGGGGATTGGGGCGGTGGCTGACTTAGTTAGAGCAATGGGAGCCTGGATTGTGCTGCGTCAGCATCCTAGTTTGTATGTTGTACTGTGAGCCCTGTGGATCAAAGCAAGGTCAGTGATCCATTAAAGGTTGCACTGTGAGCCCCGTGACTTAAAAGGGTCATATCCTAGTTTGTATGTTGCACTGTGGTTCAGGATTGTACTATGTCAGTATCCTAGTTTCAGTGTTAATAATGAGGATGCTATTTATTGGGGGAGTTGTTAGGGGTAGGAATCATTATGAACTTTATGGTTCCTGACAAAGAAAATTATAAATAGACAGGGTATAAATAAAGAAGTAAAATAAAGCAAATATATATATGTAAAATAAGATCTGAGAAGAGAAAATCATCCAAAGAGATCAGATAGTACAGGTGATGGAATTAGTAGACAAGAAATACTAAAAGTACAGAAGGAGGCCGGGTGGCGCCGGCTCACGCCTGTCATCCTGAGGACTTGAGGCGAGGGAAGACGGGCATTGGGAGTTGAGACTAGCTGGGCTGGGTATAGAACTTGCCTTTATTAAAAATATAAAATAGTTGGGTGGGGAAGGACTGTAATTCTGGCATTAGAGGCGACATGGTAAGGTTGAACTCGGGAGACGGAGGTTGCAGAACTAGACTAGGTACTACTGCGCGCCAGTTGGGCATGGTGAGGGACTTGGCTTCAAAAAAACACCATATATACATACATGAGAGAGAGATATGTGCAGGTTAAGGCGCCACTGGCACACACTAAAAAAAAAAAAAAAAAAAACACCATATATATATATATATATATATATATATATATATGTATGTATATATATACACACACACATACTTTTAGAGATGAAAACTGCGATGTCTGAGATGAAAACTACA